GTCGTGTTTTTTAGTTTAAATTATGGTTAGTAAAAAGTATACTGTTGCTACTTAAAGTAGGAGCATTGTAATTTATGTAAGTTAAAAAGTGTGATTGAATCCATTGAGCTCCACTAAAGTCGTTTATCGATATATTATAACAAAGGATAAGGTAAATACAATATGATTTACCTCCATCCTTTTAGAGTAAAAACCTTCAGTCTCTGAGAGCCACTGGCAAAATTCTTTAAAAACAAGCTTTTAGGTCGCCTCCGGTGGTGGCTACTTTCGCCAAAAACGGGTTACGCAATCAAAAATAGAAACGTTGCCAGGCCCGGAGCCCCAGGACACAACCTTCATTAAAATTTTCTACCTCTTAAATTTTCCATCGTTTTATATTTATTTACATTATCATGTTTAGTCGATTATTAATTATATACCTAAGACTTTTCTTAAAATATAATTGTTATTATTCTTAAATAAACTTTGGCTAATAGTCCATTGCCTGTTATCTATTTAGACTCTAGCCAAATGCGATGTAGAATAAATGTCAAGAAACACAAACATATGGTATGATTTTTAATACAAAGATCGAATACATAGAAAAATTTCTTCCACCATCGTGCTGCACTGTAGCATTGCTCTTACCAACTGAGTCACAGGTCAAAAACTTATGGTTTTAGGGTCTTCAACATCAACTTTGCAGTTATCACAATTTGAATATCTTTCCCCGCAATTCGATTACGCTATTGATAATACTCACTTTGAATTCATGTTTGTGATGAATACTACACGAGTAAGTGATTTGAAACCAATACAAAAATTACCAGTAGGAATTAGGTTAGGAAATGAAACTATTTTTCCGGATTTAAATCGCGTATATATGTTTTTTTTAACAAACCAAGCTTTCGGGCCCTTTACTTTTTTATTATTAATTGGAATGTTTCTTTGTAAAATTAAAAAAAGGAATTTAATTAATAACTATTGTAACTATACAAAAAACGGTGGTTTGCATTAACAATAGACATAACTGGTTGATGACTGGACGATCTCAGTCAACCGTGACCATAGGACCTGTAGAAGGTCCAAAACGTTGGTTTGTTTGAAAAAACAAATAAACGCGATTTAAATCCGGAAAAATAATTTCATTTCATATGTGTAACAATCGCGAAAACCTCAGAACTCGACAGTAATTAATTAATTACAAAACTGCGTCATCCCGAATCCTACCTATTTCTGCCGCCAAGCAGTAATGTGAGCGTTACTGCGTTTCGGTTTTGAAGGGTAACATGCTGGTGAAATTACAAGCACATGGGACTTGTTAATTTATGTCTCAGGGTGACAGGCACATGGCATTGCCCCTAAGATCTTTGCGATTTAAAGCTCTGAGTGGCACTGCAACTGTTATGGATAGGCTTGTCGCTCACCACCAGGCGCACGACTTGCTCGTCCCATCACTTGGTATTATAAAAAAAGGGAATTGCGAAACAATTTACTATATGAACTTATTCCGCATTTAAAAATCAGTGATGCACACGCGACCTCATTTAAATTAAATATAAAATACATTCAAGAACAATTTACAAATAAATCGATTACTTACTAATGTCTTCCGTTGCTCCATCACTAATGTCAATTAACCGCGTGAGTTATAGTACTTATGTCTGAATATCAAAACGACTGTTTGTTGAGTCCTTTATTAAAAGGCAAAATCTATAAATGACTACCGGGAAACAGTACGTTTCGTAAATGATACTCATTTATTTATACGCGGAAAAGTATTTGTCTTTGAGACATTCCCCGAATTCTACATGGAAATGATCGAGTTACATGTCACTAGGTACCTATTATAAAAAAAAAGTAAAAAAATAGCTTTTTTTTTATTTGAAGGAAGAGATAGCAAACATTTCTAGTTCGAGTAGTAATTCAAGTTCAGAATCAGAAATGTCATTTTCTTCAAACAATCTAAAGTGCTTCGTGGTCGAACGGTTACCATGCTGGCCAGACACGCATAGGTCACGGGTTTGATTCCCGTTATGTATGACTGTGTCCATGGCACCGGCGATACAGACATATTATTGAATTTGGCTTGAGAATAGTATTACTGTGTTCCAGTTTTGAAGGGTGCTGGTGAAATTACAGGCACATGGAACTTATCAACTTTGCGTCTCAGTGTGACTCAGTGGAAACTCTGAGTTGCATTGCAACAGTTATGGATAGGCGTATTGCTTACCACCAGCAGGACTAGCACGATAAGGCGCGACTTGCTCGTGAGGGACGTAAAGCGCGAGATACTGCTATACCCCCATAGATAATAGAAATATCTCGCGCTTCTATGTCGCTCTCGCGCAAGTGGGGCATTATCGTGCAAGCCGCACGACTTATTCGCCCTCGTAACGAAAAAGGACACAACTCACTTTTTTATTAAAATTGAGTTACATACATATTCGTGATAAGGAAATAAAGGCCAATCTCACTTTTTTTTGTGAAAATATATATCTATAATTGTAAAATATACAGCTAGGGGCATAACTAACTTCAAGAAACACATTTTTTTCTATGAGTCATATTTGACGTTAATTTCGTTATAACTCTAATATCAAAGGATTTTACTTAGTAATGTACGGGAACTATGAACACAAAAAATGGCAAAGGAGAAAAATAAGGTATTTTTAAAAACGGCTGATTAAAATACAATGAGAGTTTCTGTATACAACATGTGGTATGTACTTATAACATAAATAAAGTACTTAATATGAAATGTATATTTTAACTATGCTTTTTATCAGAAAAACCTAAAAAATATCTAAGCACTCCGATACGCTGAAACTTGATGTAAGTGAGTTTGTGCCCCGCTGCGTAAAACCCCCTAAACTGTATGAGTTACCAAAAATATATAAGGCTGACACCCCACTCCGTCCCATAGTTAGCCAGATTGACACACCAACCTACAAACTGGCTCAACACATGGCAAAGGTACTGTCACAATTGAAACGGAACACTTCTACACATGTGAAGGATTCATACCATTTCATCAGTGGAATCAAAGATCTACGGTTAACTGATGATGACACCATGGTCAGTTTTGATGTTCAGTCGCTGTTTACCAACCTACCAGTAAAAGACTGCATTGAAATTGTACGTAGAAAGCTGAGGGAACATAATATGTCCACTGAATATGCAGAATTATTAGAACACTGCCCAACATCAGGCTATCTATTGTGGAATAATGAATTCTACCTACAAATTGACGGTATAGCAATGGGCTCCCCGGTATCTCCCGTTGTTGCCGATATTTTCATGGAAGACTTCGAGGAGCGAGTTTTACCCGTGGCCCCGGCTAGGCCGAAGATTTTGGGGCCACGTTGATGATACTTTCACAATATTACCTAAAGATAGCATACTTTCTTTCTTGGACAATCTTAATTCTTTTAGTACTAAGATCCAATTTACTATGGAACAAGAGAATTGTGGTACTTTAGCTTTCTTAGATGTTTTAATTAAAAGAAATCCTAATAACACCTTAGGTCATACTGTATTTCGAAAGAAAACCCATATAGATAGGTATCTCAATGGTAATTCCCATCACCATCCTAGCCAGTTAGCTACCGTGGGCAAATCTTTGTTTCAGAGAGCACATGGTGTCTGCGACAGTAATCATCTGGCAGGGGTACTTCAACATATAAAGCAAGTCCTACATGCGAATAAGTTGAAGATTCCACGCCAATGCCGCGGGCCCCGTGTGAAACCATCAACAGTCGAGCGAAGACCTGCCATCTTACCTTACGTGAGAGGTGTTACAGACAAGATCGGAAGAGTCCTCAGGCGCGCATCTATCAAGATCTATTTCAAGCCCCTGAGGAAGATTTCTCAGTTCCTGAGACCCGTGAAATGTAACATCCCCTTACAGGATGCAGGAGTTTACAAGCTTGACTGTGAGTGCGGTCTCTCTTATATTGGACAAACAAAGCGAAGGATTTGTACCCGCGTCAAAGAACATATAGTTGATGTCAAACACCGTCGCGTAAACAAGTCTGCAGTCTGCGAGCATGTCATGGATAAACCTACACATTCAATGAAGTTTGATAAACCCCAGGTCCTTGCAAAAGAAGCCCGTTATCTACCCAGGATGCTGCGAGAGGCCATTCAAATTAAAAAACATCCTAATTTCAACAGGGAAGATGGTTTCTCCGTACCACCAGTTTGGGATCCAGTATTTCCTCTAATGAAAAATCCCAAACAGACATAAGACTGCAGTACTAATTAATATGTTTTAGTTTATTCTAATTTCTATTAATAATTAATAATAAATTGAACTTAATAAAAATTCATTCAATAAAATAATTTGTAAAACTCAATATAGCGTAAATTGGAATGTTTCTTTGTAATGTAAAAATGTAAAATTAAAAATAAGGTATTTCATTAATAACTATTGTAACTATAGTGAAAAAATAGGGTGGTTTGCATCAATATTAGACATAACTGACTGTACCACCTCAGTCAACCATGACCATGGGACCTGTAAAGGGCCCGAAACGTCGATTTGTTTGAAAAAACAAATATACGCGATTTAAATCCGGAAAAATAGTTTCATTTCCTATGTGTAACAATCGCGAAAACCTAAGAACTCGATATTTAAACACGAATTTAGAATATGTTGCTTGTGCTTTTCTTTTATCGAAGACTGTATTAGAACCATCACTTGATAACCGTAAAAAAGATTACGAAAGGTAAAATACAGTAATATATAACAATCGTGACTTATTTAAAGGTAAGTACACAAATTTATCTGGAAATTCTAAGTGCCGAATCATTCAATCAACCTTCCCTCGATGAATTTAAGTCGCCCTCAAACTCAATTCGACTGAAAACAATTGAAAGATCCACTTAAATCAATTGAAATACGATTGAGCTTAATGAAATGTTAAAAGCTCAGATGCTTTTGATTGACTTCCCTACTTACTTGTTTAATCGGAAAATCCATAAAGTAAGTCTTAAGTAGGTGCGGTTGTAATACTCACATTTTCATGCTTAAACCGAGTAAGGATTTTGATTTCCCGTAGCGTCCTCTGGCAATATGTCTGGTGCTCAAACGGTGAAATTTTTTTTATTGCAACTTTCGTGTTCTTTATGTTGTCGACAGCGGACCTGCAAAGAAATAATAGAACATAAATCACAAGAAACACAATGAACCTACATGGAAAATCTTTATCTCTCTCTCTGTTGAACAAGGGGTGTTTAAAATAACAGCGTAAAGTAACACGTTTCGATGTGAGCATTCGAATAGTCATTACAGCGAGCCGAACCGATCGTTATGAGCTTGCGTGCTCCATACGGTTATCGGTTTTTTGACGAATCCCTTTTGAGTGTCACGTTACGTTCAGTTTTAGGTTAGTAAAGCTTCGTCTCGAGCGCGTTGTCAAAAATCAAAGTGTGTACGTGGTTCATAAGCTTGAGCGGAACGCGTGCGGTTCGCAGTTAGCCGATGATAACCAGGTGCTCATTTTAGCGAGTGAAGATTATTTCACGTGTACACACTAGAACCTCGTTACTGTATCTGGTACGTTACAGTTACAGCTCGCTAATGAGTACCCGGCTTTATGTTACCAAAAATCATAGCGTGTACGTGGTTCGTAAGCTTGCCGCGAGCAGAATGTGTGCGGTTCGCAGTGAGCCGATGATAGCCGGGTACTCATTCCAGCGAGTGAAGACAGTATCACGCGTACGCACTAGAACCTCTATACTGTATCTGCCACAGTTAGAGCTCGCTAATGAGTACGCGGCATTTATGTTATCAAAAATAATCGTGTGTACGTGCAAAATCATATTTAGCACGTTAGTCTCAGTCGATAGAAAAAAGATACAAATTAGTTTGAACTATTATAAAGAGATATCGTAAGATGCTTTAAATACAAAAGAAGGAAATAACGAATTTGGCAGTTTTGAAATCTTGAGAACACGAGGTATAACATTACCTTTATAAGAAATACGATGACTGATACTCTTACCTAACATTTTGTGAGAAAAACGATGAAACCTGCGTATCAAAGAACGTTTAGCAACCTTACGTAAACGTGTGAAGTTCGTAACTCCCACTGGAGAAAAGACCCGTGCCCACCTGTGGGACGAATGATGTTAATAATATGCAGGTAATTCGAAGACTCAAACGCCCCTGCTGGGAATGGGATCCCACAACCTTGATCTACCATTACTACAGTTATTAATCGCGACCCTATCGACTTTCGTCTTCTTTTGTAGAAAGGACCTGCGAAATAATAAGTAATAAATCATCAGTCCACAGAGCCCAACCTAAAGGGTTGTCGTATGAACATAATTCAACTTCCCACAACGATAAATAATACCGCATTTCTATAGACTCGTTAAAGTGTACATACATACAATGAATAGGGTATTTTTTTCCAACCAACCTCAAAAAATAGGGGTTATCTATTCAACACGCTAAATATGTTAATGGCGTAGGTACTAGTAATACTATTCCATTCTTGTATGTCATATTTATATTTTTTGATTATTTCGAATTAGAACGATGAAAAATAGTTGGAAAAAAATCTCATGCAGCCATAACCATGGCCTAACAAAACCCCGAGTAAGGTGCGACCCGTGCCAATCAGTTAGAGCCTATGTACACGGGCGGCGGCGTGTTTTTTACGCGCAGAAGATACGCGTTTCACGAACGCACCTTCACGGCGCCATTACATTATATTATTTTTCTTCAGTTAGTGTGTTGATATAGTGTATTATGAGGAGCAATTGATTCATTGATGCAACAGAAGTAATCTATTCGGTCGTCTAATTTATTCATCTCTACCACCACTCGTCGAACCTTGTAACACTAACATTATGTTTAATCATACTAAATTAATATTTGATAAAACTCTTTTGTTTATTATTGTTTTTTTTTACGATTGACATTTTAACCAGTATATCTTTTGATACTGATCTCGTAATAAATCTTGGTTGCACCCTCCATTCAGTAGGTAAAGCAACATGAACCGAACGAGTGTAGCAAGCGTGTCGCGGCAGCGGCCGGCGAGTACCAGAAGTCAATTTGCTTGGGTTTCCGAACATGTTTTCACGTCAAATTATATTATAATCAATATAATATTAGTATACAAATATAATCAACATTTACTTAGTTTTAAAAATGAGTATATAAATTTTATTTTTAATGCTCATTTGTCTTAGTTTAAACAAATGAAACATTTTTTCTTAGCTCAGAAGAGATTAGATCTTTTGCCTGCTGCTTTTGTAAAATTAAAATGATCGTTTAAATACACGCTTAATAAAAAAGGCCATAGGTGTAATTTCAATTATGTCATTTTATTTAATGTAATGAAATTTAAATAAGTTCTAACGAAACGGCTAAGTCTTACTAGGAAACTATGGATAAGTATTTTTCCGAAATAAATTACTATTATTATTATCATTATATATAAGGACATAAACGGACGTCCTCTCAATTTTAATTGGGAGATATCGTTCCCCCAATGGGTTAGTATCGCTCTCACACCAGTTATTGGTTTGAAAATAGGGAATTCCCTGCAATGTGAGTACCAAACCAACGAATGAAATTTACTCCTGGGGACAACCCAAACAAGAACCAATTCTGAATAGTTCGTATCATAAGTTAGTTCCACCGGGAATATACCACAGGAACTCATCGAGCGCCAGTAGTACTTCGATAAGCTAAAATTTGATTATTACGTTCATAAGTTAAAAAAGAAACAAAGCAAGAAACTGATACAGTACATGTAAATTCAATGGAGCTATATTGAAAGTAATGGAAAAAGGTTTTAAAGCAGATGGGGAACAAATTATAAACTAATTAATTGCACGAAAAAATGTTGCGGCAAACCTTTAGCACTAATGTCTTTATTAACCGACTGTAAAAAGGGTGGTTCTCAATTGGTTCGTTCTTTTTATGCGTATGTTACGCGTATACTCCGACATTCGTGAACCAATTTCAATAATGATTTTTTTTTTAATAAGGTAGGTTCTTCAAATGAATGGGACAACTATTGAGTTAGTTGTCCCATTCATTTGAAGAAAATATTCCACCTCTAGGGATGGTCAATCACTTTTTCCGTGAATTGATATTAATAAAACTTGGCATATAGGTGTATTTCCAATGAAAATAAAACACAGCGAAAACGGATAAGCAAAAGTTATAATATTATATAGCATAATCTCAAGTTTACGTATTATATTATGAATGGTAACTTATATTAAATAGATAGGAAAAAACAGCATTTATTAAAATTTCAAGTAATAAATCAAGATATTACAAAAATATTTATTATACGGGTTATAAATCAAAAAGCTTTTGATTACAGTCCGTCTCTGCATATTTATTTTTTTCGAGGGCTTTGTTAACTGCAGACATTTGAATTTCCAATTACTTAAATGTGACGTACCTACATTATACCATGAGTTTTCAGAGACAACAACAAAAACAGTGATTGCGTAAAATATTTGTTTGTACAAAATGTTACTTCGTCTTATGATCGCTAGGATAATAATGATATGTATGATATACAATTTGTCGTATAAAATGTGATATAATATTTCACGAAGTCGCTAGCAATAATTGTCAGTGTATAATCATGGTACCGTAAACAAAGAAAACCAATCACATTACATTGCAAGAAATAAATATTGACACATCGTGTAACACGATTTTTGTTTCTGGGTTATCATTATCAATGTCATTTTCTCAAACATGCTCGGTAATGTTTGCATTACTTACAGTAAAAAACGAACACGGAAAGTTTGTCAATTATGGGTCGTGTGATTCTTCCCGGCCAAGGCTGCAAAGTATGAAAATCCATTACTGTCCACTTCTCTAAACCTGTAAATCTAACAATTTAATGAACTATGTAAACAGGCAAAATAAAAACTCATACAGCCAACTGCCCAGTGTTCATAGTTGCGAGAATTCAAAATGCCTACCCGTACCGATTACTTAAAAAAAAGAAAACGTCGGTAACATTTAAACTAAAGCGTTTTGGTATTCTTTTGTTATTTCGTCTTTTTTGTATTTTGGTGGCGAAAATGAGTGCTAGTGAGACGAGTGATAACGAAAATACAGTAAAAGATACGTATTCAAAGACATGATCAGAAGTACAGCAGACTATTATTAATGTGGCTGGAAAAATAATCATATTTTCTTCTAGTAATTGTTCTAACATGTCAAATATTACTTTTAATATTAATTTTTTTTTTTACTTTTTCTCTCTTTAGTCTTTTATTATTTCCTCACAATGTTTGAGAAAAATACTATGCATGCTTCGGCGGGAACGGAGATTGCTTGACTCGTATTAATACAAAGCCTCGCAGGCGCTCGTCCTTGTAATTCATACTCGTCCAGCAACCCCTTACTTCCCGGCCTCTGCAATAATGTAACTATTTATAGTTTCTAATATAAAAACATGAAAAGACTTTATTTTCCTCCAAAAACTTTGCTGGTCAGGAGGTCTATTTCCGTTCTCTGTCTAATATCCATCCAAAACTATTAGTATCCAATAAATAATAGTCGACCAAGTTAAAAGACGCATGATGCGAATGAAGCTACATACTTGACATTATCTTTTGATTTAGTCGAGTATTACTTATTTGACAGTAGTTTCGGACGGACGTCAGCCGAAGAACGGATGTAGACAACTTTAAAACCAGGGTATTTAAAATTTGTATACCATTAAGAAAACGTAAATTTTTTCGGGTTTCTCTTTTATTTAAAGACAAAAAGGGAAAATTATATTTAAAATCAATAGCATATTTCAACCAAAATTCTCCAAATTGATGACAAAGAACGAAAAAATGTGTAGATTTGCAGGATAATGTACATAGCACTATGTAGTTACAGGCTGCTATGTAAATACCATTGTGACAGTCACAAAAGCAAAAATTTCAGGGGTGTAAATACTCTTTTCTACATACTTGCTGCTCAATTAAACAGAAATCAATACTGTCAAACCATTAACAGAACCTTTTTGAAAATTGTCACATACCATACTAGGGCCCGGATGTACACAATATGTGAAGTGAATCAGCGTTGTATTCTAGAACTGTACTCAATGCTCAAGTGAGGACTTGAGTATGATTCAAAGCACTAGAAATCATACTCAAGG